TGTATGTATGTATGTATGTATGTATGTATGTATGTATGTATGTATGTATGTAACAAACAAACAAACAAACAAACAAACAAACAAACAAACAAACAAACAATCAAACAAATCAGGGCTCGACATTAAGGACTGCCCGATGGCCCGGGGCCATCTAGTATTTAGCTCGGGCAATGAAGCCTCACCTGCTGGTGGCCCGATCGGGCAATCTTATTATGCCAGTATCGTGCAGCTCGCGGATCCAGTAATGAGTGACCCGACAGTAAAACTAAACATATCTATAACTAGTTACGGTAGTTTGAGAGGTAATTAAAATAGCTACGTGTGATATTCTAACCTGAAGTGTGTGTTTTGTCCGCTCACCGCTGCATGTGATCATGCAGCGCTGCGTGTCGACTCGTCAGCAGCAGCTGATCTCTCTCTCCCGTCAGATTAGACTTCACTTGCGTTTATGTCCATATCGATCAGATCCAGCTAGTTCTAGCTAATGATATGACTACCTGCTTATTAAAAGACACCTAAACAATAAGTGTCGCTATGCAACTGGGTGAACACAAAGTATAGCGCAGCATTATGCATTTGTTTACATGCCCACCGGAACCCCGAGGCATTACCAACAGATCAACGCACAATCAACCCATACAGGACATCTCTTTCTCCACATTAAGTGTTAGACATTAGAATTGACTATTCTTGTCTGTCACATAAGTTTTGTCTGTCACATAAGTGGCGCAACTGATGTGGTATTGTGCTAAAGGGAAATTATTGTGACCGAAGAGATTTAGATTTGCCGGCTAACTGGAACTCTGACGTCGCCATTTTGTATGCTTCGCGGATGCGCTCGGCTCCTCTCGACTGCTGCTCGGGTCTGCTCGGTCAGCTTCCGGATGAGGAAGCATTCATTCGACCAACTTACAGTAGATAACATTACAAACATTTTTAACAGGGGCCATAATAGTTTAAATAATGTTTGTTTTGGCAGTTACAACTGAATGTAATGTGTTCTACTTTTTTACTTCTGGGAAGGCATTTGCCTTCATCAGATGGAAAGTGTCTTGACCAACAACTTAAGTATTTCTTATAGCTATGCAGGGTATGCAAGCGAGCAAACACAAACAAGAACAAACAAACAAGTGAAATGAAGAATAAAATTGAAATTGTACAATATCATATTGTGCTGGTTCATCTTATAATTCAGTCGAGAGAATGCACCAGACAGCATCTAAGAGCTGCAAAAATCTAAATGTTCTAGGGGGAGGCCCCCCAAACCCTTCGTGGCATTTCGTCCGCACGCATTTTTCAGGGCAATCTCTATTGGGCTCAGGGCCATCTGTAAATTAGCTTAGATGGCCCACAGGGCCATCTCCCAAAATCCTTAATGTCATGCACTGNGATTTAGATTTGCCAGCTAACAGGAACTCTGACGTCGCCATTTTGTGTGCTTCGCGGATGCGCTCGGCTCCTCTCGGCTCCTCTCGACTTCTGCTCGGGTCTGCTCGGTCAGCTTCCGGATGAGGAGGCATTCGTTCGACCCAGCGCGCTGGTTGGACCAACTTACAGTAGATAACATTACAAACATTTTTAACAGGGGCCATAATAGTGTAAATAATTTTTGTTTTGGCAGTTACAACTGAATGTAATGTGTTCTACTTTTTTACTTCTGGGAAGGCATTTGCCTTCATCAGATGGAAAGTGTCTTGACCAACAACTTAAGTATTTCTTATAGCTATGCAGGGCATGCAAGCGAGCAAACACAAACAAGAACAAACAAACAAGTGAAATGAAGAATACAATTGAAATTTTACAATATAATATTGTGGTGGTTCATCTTATAATTCAGTCTAGAGAATGTACCAGACAGCATCTACAGTAAGACCTTCAAAAATCTTTTCTTTCTAGGGGAGGCCCCCCAAACCCTTCGTGCCATTTCGTCCGCGCGAATTTTTCAGGGCAATCTCTATTGTGCTCAGGGCCATCTGTAAATTAGCTTAGATGGCCCACAGGGCCATCTCCCAAAAATCCTTAATGTCATGCACTGTAATGTATGTATGTATGTATGTATGTATGTATGTATGTATGTATGTATGTATGTATGTATGTATGTATGTATGTATGTATGTATGTATGTATGCATACATGCATGTGTGTAGTGCTTAGGGCAATCTCTATTGGGCTCAGGGCCATCTGTAAATTAGCTTAGATGGCCCACAGGGCCATCTCCCAAAAATCCTTAATGTCATGCACTGTAATGTATGTATGTATGTATGTATGTATGTATGTATGTATGCATACATGCATGTGTGTAGTGTTTTATTCTATTTTGAATATCGATTCAATGTTTGCATTGAATGAAGGAGATTTTTGAAGAAACTAAAAGTATGCTGATATGCAGACATAAAGCCAACAGTAGTCTGCACCCACATACTCCTGTTACACATAACAGGACATAATGTTCATCCGGCTTTCTCTGTACTGTACTGTACTGTATGCACGCATACATGCATGTGTGTAGTGCTTTATTCTATTTTAAATATCGATTCAATGTTTGCATTGAATGAAGGAGACAATTGACATTTTCTTGTGCAACCCCTGCAGGAAAAAACAAAAAACAAATTCCTTGAACATTGATTGCAGCTAATGTAGATACCCAAGCACACCTTCATCCATACATGATTGCCAGTTGGTTATGGATAATTTCGGATATACTTGCCATTCAATGTCTGAGATCTGGACTTTGGGCAGTACATTCTATTTTGTTGTTTAATTTTTCGTGAGTTTTGCTCAACGCTCTTCTTCTAAGTTGTGGATTGCCTACCCTCGCCTTCATGCTTAGACGCTGAGTTTTGAGGGATGGCCTTGTCTAGGCAGGGACAAGGTGGTGTATGTTGCAGCTTCCACTTCTTTTAAAATATTTTTTTAAAGTTGATGTTATTCAGAATTTGGATGAGAAGTGCATATACTGTTGTGATTTCTGGCACAATACTCCCTAACAAACAGTGATTTTCTCCCTTTGAGTTATGGTGATGGACAATTAAACTAGCATGCTTTTTAGCCTGTTTGGTATTTGGATAAGGACAACTTTGAGTCAACAACTATAAATGTATTTTGCATCATATGAATGGTGGTATTTTGCTGCAAATATGTGGTGATTTAAATCAAGATAATTACACCTCTTTATGAATCAAGTTCCCAGCACTGTCAGAGACACACTGGTGCTCACAGGAAATATGATATTACTATTTCGATGTTGTCTAAAGTGAAGATTTTATTTATATTTAGTTGGTTTCAGGGCTGTGAACATTTACGCCCTCTTTTGTGTCCTATTTATACTGTTATCTATCCTTGCAATGCAGCACCAAGTAAGGTGTGCTTTTATCCCTTAATTCAGGTTTTCATAGTCATATTTTGGGACTGTAGGGCTCGTAGGAGTAAGCGAAAAAAAGACGAAACATGGTGCGATTACAGCCTACCTTTAGTCTTTACATACTCGGATTGAGGCCTTCGCAAAGTGCATCGTGGGAGCTGTGTGTGAGGGCATAGGAGGAAGTGGTGCCGCAGTGTCCAGGGGCCCATCTGGGCATTATGCGCATGAAGGCTCCGCCCCGTCGTAAGTTCCTGCTCCGTCTGTCGAAGCAGCTCGGAGACACCGCATGGCAGAAATCTGTTCCTCCCCTTTCACCGTGGGGGGCAGCTTAGGTGGGGACAGGGTTGTTCTTGTGTGTGTGTTAGAGTAAGCATGAGTAATTTGGGGATTGCAAGGACTGTCACCACATATGCCCTGTGCTGTCCCAGCCTTGTGTGTGAGTGTACACATTTGTCCTCTCTACAATGAAGATCACTTATTTAGAAAGTTTCTTCTACCCCTCCAGCCTTTTAAAAGAAGCTCCTTGTTCCATGTTTAGACGTCCCGGTGTCCTGCCGTCCCTCCCTCGCTCCACTCAGTATAATGTACTCTGTGACCTTGGCGAGAATGATCCAGTGGCAGATTGCTACATGGTAGGGGCACAGTAGCTATTATTTTGACTCAGTGCAGGATAGACTGCCAATATTTCTTCCAAACAGGATGGGGGAGGTCAGCTGACCAAAATCAATCTCTTTTACATGCTTCACTATAACTCTTCAAAGCAGGTTCATGGCGAAGATATATTTCTGGCATTATTGCTCTGTTGTTTTCCCATCTCTGCTGTCTCCAGATGCCCTTGCTTTTTTGACTTCATAGGGGAAGGAAACATATGATAGAAATGTGGAAAGAATTCAAATTAAATATATAAATGGTAAATAACTAAATTAGATATATTTGCTCATGTACTCTGGCTCACAGAACGTCCTTGCCCCACATGAAACGCATCCACGTGGGTCAGTTAGGTGCATTTTAGTCTTTATAAAGTGTATCCTGCATCTTGCCCAATGCATGTTGGGATTGACTCAAAGAGTGTAAAATGTAATTACATTTTTATGATTTTCCTTTACTAAGTATTTAAAAACTAGCCTCATTTATGCTGACCGATTGGCCATCATTGGTCATCTCCAGTTTTCCTTGTCAGACTGGTGTTTGAGTAAAAAAAAAAAGTAAAGCCCCAACAGGATGTGCCTCCATCTTGCTGGAAGGGGATAATGGAGCCAGTGCTATAGTAGGTACTCTTCTCCATAGCAACTGTTTCTGTTGCTAGGTTACAGTATGTATGGAATGCATGGATGACGGCTTCAAAGTTGTACTCTTCAGAGTCTAGACAGATTCCCGACATGATCATAGGAAGGTTTCAATGTTTGAGTGTCTCATTACCAAGTTGTGTGGATTCCTTTGAGGCCACAGTGGCATCTTTTCTTTGACTTACCTCGTACTGATATTGAAAATCGACCACTTCCCTCCAGCCTTTCCTCTTTCCTCCCCTCCCCTTCCCTTCCTTTGCCCCACTCTTTCTCGCCCCTACCCATCCTCCCATTCAGCAGAGGGTAGTTGGCACCAGTATAAAGCTTCAGCCTCCTCCGACGACTCGTGCCTGACTCTCTGCCAACCTGTGAGAAGCTAGAAAGCGGAATAGCGAGAGGGAGGGAAGCGGAAGAGAGTGAGAGGGAAAAGGAGAGAATGGATTTTTGGAAGGAAATAAACAGAGCAGCCTGGAGATCGACCTTTCCGTCACCAGTTGTGGCATCCAGGGATAGCACCTCTCCCGTGTCTCTGTATGAGGGGGCAACAGCGCTTGGACTTCAGTTTTACGGGTGAGAAACACAGGACCATGGGTATAATCTAAGGGTAACAAAGACCACATATCATCCGAAACAAGTCAAACTAGACGCTATTCTAGTTATTACAAGCTATTAAGCAACAGATAGATTGTTGTGCCCTTGACAGCGGCAGGGTCCGATGTTTTGGTTCTGGTCCAGCCGCCTACAACCGCCATGCTAAAAAAACAAAAGGTGGCCAACGTACTCCGCTTCAGTCCCGCTGTACTTTAAAGCCTGCATGTGCTTTCCCGATATCCTTGAAAAACAAAGGTGCACAAAAGAAATTACGCCCATTTCTCATCCAAGTATGAAGGAAAAATCCTTCATGAATCCTTTCCCCATACTCAGCCTGTTTTTCTTTTGTAAACTCAGTCAGTCACCCTCCCTGCTTGTTTTTGGTCGTCCTCAGTTCTTTCTTTTGCTGGCGTGGTGAGGCAGTGTAGTGAGGGTATTCAGCCAGTTCTTTCTCTGTGTTAGTTGGGGTAATTCTGGCAGAATGGGGTGTGGGCGCTGGGCTGGCAGGGGGGAATGCTGGGCTAGGCACAGTGAAAGGAGCCAGCCTGGCACCAACTGGACCTCTGCCAGCTGCTCCATGGGAGAAATACCCTCAGCAGAGGTTTGTGTGCGAATGACTGCGTGCTTGTGTGCAGAAGGGTGGGCACGTGTTTGTGAGACGAGAGTGAGGGATGATGGGAAGGTGGTGTAAGGAAGAGAGTGTGAAGCAAAGATGGAAAGCAGCTGAGAGAGACGTGGGGGTGGGGGGGTCTTGGGTCGGAGTTGTCTTCTCTGGACAGTGCTTAATCGGCGTGTTCTTGGCTGTCTTCATTTTTACCTCCCTTTTTTTTGTTTGTTTATTTGTTTGCTTGTTTGTGTTCTCTCTTGGATGAAGTGCTAGGGCTTTTGTATAAAGCGCCCAAAGGCATGGTGGTCCGTAAGCCAAAATAATCCTTCACTGCCTCTCTGCTACCCTCATCTGTTGCTTCTCACTGGCTATTTATTCCTTTTATTGTTTTGGCAGGCTGATCTCTCCTCCTCCCACTCCTCCTCCTCCTCTATCGCACACTTGTCTCTCTCTCACTCTCACATTTTCTCCCTCTGTCATTTGGCAATTTCAGTACTTTTTATCTCTGTGGCCAGAAAATGCAGGACAAGAGGGTGAGAGTGAGCAGAGGATGGAGACTAAACGCATTCACAGAAGAAGGATGAAGATTTCTTGTGTCAGCCTACCACCTTAAGTCACCCCTGTGGACTGAGACTATTAAGCCGGTACAGTCACTGACACAGATGTATTTTGATTGCAGCCGACTGTGCCAGTGACATGACCTCGTAGTGCCAAACAACCTGCTGCTAAAAGATAGAACTGTTGCACAACAGGAGGGCAGGAAAGGACTGCCTGGAGGCATCCCAGGCCTCTGTGACATTTCAGAAGTCCTTTATGCTCCTCCAATCTGTCACTGCACAGAACAACTTTGTCTCACATCAAAAAGTGTTCTTTAGGTGGCCCACCAAGATAATTGATCAGCTTGAGTGCTGTGATGCTTCTTTTGCTCCCTGTATTCTTCAAAACACTTGTTAATCTTTCAAGTACAGACCTGGCCCTGTTTCTTCGGTATGCTTCAATACTATCTGTCCTTACAGTAATCACTCAGTAGGAAGTCATCTGCAGGTAACTGGTCTTTGGCCTGTTGTCACATGCGGGAATCATCCCAGGCCTATCTAGGAAATGAACTACTATGGCTATATCAGATTAGAGATTGTTTCTATTCAGGTCAATGTCACACATCACATATCTTAGCAGCCAGGGAGCAATCACACATTGAACTAAGAGCGAGCGTCCATTATGGGTTTGGCCTAAGCTCTTAGTGTGTCCTGTGGCCTGTTTATCTGTAGACTAATATTAGTGGTTGCAGCACAAACCAGCCTTGCTTAGTGGAGATTTGCACGCTAAATCACCTCAGTCTTCTTAAACCCTAATCCTCCTCATACATCTGTGAGTTACACACACACACACACACACACACACACACACACACACACACACACACACACACACACACACACACACACACACACACACACACACACACACACACACACACACACACACACACACACACACACACACACACACACACACAGGCATGCACACTTCCTTTTTAGCACTCTAATTCCATGCAGTGCAGTTGGCAGTAGAGTGCCACCCCCCTGCCACCTCTCAGCACTCCAGTTTGTTTTACTTATCGGATATTTTTAACAAAGTGAAGGGTCTAATTTGCGCGGCCCTCCCCTGCTCCGGAGGTTATGCAGGTGCGCGTCCCTATAATGTCGTCATTGGTTCGCTTTATGGACACCCAACAGTGGCAAGACTAGCACTTAAAACACTCACATTAAAAGGCATATACTAGTAGAATAGGAAAGATATCAGGAATAACTGTGTGATCCTGTTTATTTGTGGGAATGGACGAGAGGACAGCAGGGATGGAATGGCTGTCAAAGCCGTGTAATCTCTTAAATGTCTTCCAGTACAGAATCCTTTGGCTCTGATCCGCTGGTCTGGGTCATCCTGTAAAGAAGTGTTGACCTCTGAGGGCTAGTTAAGGCCGCTAATGGGCCCCTTTTACACTCACACACACACACACTGTGATTTGTGCTATTGAATAGCAGTGTTATGATTTTGTTTCCACATTTGTACACTGTTTTGCTTTGCAGACAAGCATGCTGTCAATGGGAATCCCACTGTGGAGCCTTTTCCAGAAGGCATGGAGACCATCATGTTTGGTGAGATGCTACAATTGCACATTTGTATAACCCGTTACGGAATCCTTTGTTACCAGTTTGTGGTTACTGACACCATTTGCTAAAATGAATGGATGCTTTGCTACCACAGAAGCACTAAGCTGTGGTTGTTTGTGTGTTTGCTTGCTGTCTTTATGTCCAGGTTTGGGCTGTTTCTGGGGAGCTGAGAGACTTTTTTGGCAGCTTCCTGGAGTCTTCTCCACACAGGTTGGCTACGCCGGCGGCTTTACACCCAACCCAAATTACCAAGAAGTTTGCTCAGGTAATACACTCTTCATCTCATGTGTATTTGCACATTTTCACATATTCATGCCCTCCACTTTTTGATATTTTTTGCTTGATCTAGCTTCCTCCCCTTTGAGGAGGTGAAGTTGCTTGGTTGGATATTTCGCTGTGAATTCCGGGTCCAAGTAACCAAAAAATGCAAAGGGAAAAGATACAGAGTCATAAAGGGTTTTTTAAAGTACGGCAGTCTCATGCTCTCGCCGCCTTCCCTTCATCTGCAGTCAACTACTCAGAATGCACTGCTCCAGATGGGCTGCACCGCCCGTCCCCACCCCCCCATGACCTACTTGTAAGGATTGGGCTCTGTACTGTGATGTACTGCGGCGTTTTTCTTTTGCCAACAGAGGTTACTTTATATGAAGCGCCATTAATGGGCTTCTTTCCCCGTAACTGTGATTTGGCGAACATGATGTCGGAGATACAAGCTTGATTACTGTGTATTTGCCATCTAAGCCGTTCAAATTAGTTTCTTTTTCGTTATCCTCATTTTGAGTTCAAATGGATTCATGTAGGGCGTTGATATTTAATTCATATGAAGATGTCTAGCTCTGTGTCTTTCTCTGCGCCTCTCTTGTGTTTTAGGAGTCGTGAGCACGTTAGTTTGGGGCTCCTCCGTTTCAGAGGCTGCATCATTACAGGCAGGCATAGAGTCTAGGTGCAGGCGCAGCATGGGGGACATGGAGAGGAGGGAAAATGCGCTTTGGGCTTGGCTGGCAGACTTCCTGAGCAGAGCCCTTAAAGGGATTGCATGTTTCCTATCTGTCTGCCTACCAGTCTCTCTTTCTGTCAGCTTTCCAACAACACGATGGTCAGCTAGCTATGGAGGGGGAAAGAAAAAGAGAGACTGCAGCAAGTGAGGAAACGGGTAAAAATAAACTTTTGCGGGGGAAATAAAATTTGAGGAAAAAGTATGAGAGAGAATGGTTGCCTGTCCATCGGCTGAGAGAGTGCAGGCGTCGCTCCAGTGGCCATGACGGAGCAGAACACTGCGACGGCATGAGACCGAGGAGCTGTCAACACAGCCAGGGCAGGACAGACAGCTGGACGGACAGACAGTCGGACAGAAAGAAAGGGCTGATGGAACTGTCAGCAGAGTCAGGGAAGGATGGACGGACAGGCAGATAGATACTGTAGGTGTATGGTCTGACAGACAGAAGTGGGAGAGGTTGAGGTGCAGTCAAATTTGTCTTGGAAGGAAAGACAGCTGAGAGATGGACAGGAGATGTCATTACCAATCAGCATATTTTATCTTGACTAACAGTGCACTCCATTTTGCAATGTTTGAAGTACAGAATCTAGAGTTGATGCTGTAACCTTTTGTGCTTTAGCTCTACAGTGTTGCAGGTGGTTAAATCCAACACTCGTCAAACCCAATTGACACAAGAGGTTATTAGGTTTTCAGCCACTTCTAAAACAGCCTTTTTTATCGCTCCAAAAACAACTCCTTTTATGTATTTTCTCCTCTGCCACAGTTTAGGCAACTAAAACTGTTCTTACAGTTGCGGTCATGAAACCAATGTTGCCTGTCTGTGCGGTACTAAGCGTTAACTGCTGTCTTCTTTGTCAATGTAACCCCTTTTGTTGACCAAACAGACAACATAAAAAGACCCTAACTAGACAACCACAAAAGAAGGCTTACAAGAAGGCTTGTGGCGCAGGGGATAGAGCGTTGGTGTTTGGATCAGGGGAGCACAGGTTCAAACCCCACTGCAGTCAGCATGTCGTTGTGTCCCTGGGGAAGACACTTCACCCCAAATTGTTCCTGTGGGGATTGCCCAAAGTATTGAGTATGTAAGTTGCTTTGGATAAAAGAGTCTAACAAGTAATATGTAATAAGTAAAACATAGAACATTTTAAATGTTAGAACAAGCGCCTAAGCCTGCTCTTTTTATGTTTGGACTTTCTCTTAACCAACAGAACAATTAAACAAAAAAGGGCAACACAATGTCATGATCATTTGGGAGACCAGCTTCCCCCAGAAAGCTATTCACTTTGCTGAAGTGTCGTTCAACCAAAACATTGAATCTCTAGTAGCTTTAGTGGCTTCACCTTTTAGCCTTTCACCCCCTTTAGATGGGACACACGAGAAAATGCATTGCATATTCACATTATGTCTTGACATCTAGTTTTAACTGCATTACTGCCTCATACTGCGAACCCACAACCAAACTTGGTTCTCGTTCTAACCAGAGCAAAATGTGTGCATATGATATGCTGAGGGTTGTGTATTGTATACTGTCCTTGCCAACCTTGGTAAACAATTGGTCGAAAACTCACCTGGGCTTCGCTCTAAAGCTGGCACATGTGCTTCCTCTTGCTTCTCCCTCCCTACAGCTGATGTCCACCCTGCAGCCTCCTCTTTTTGTTTAACACATTCAACACATTCAAAGCACATGTTTCCTTATTGTCCTTATTACATGTTGACCAATGTGTTCATTAAAAAAGGGTGCCACGTACTCTGTCTATTTGAAGTCATGACAGAGATTTCTTGATTTGAGTTCAAATACTGTTTGAACAGGTGAGGTCTTCCGTGTTCATTTGGCATGAGGTGATACTTTATTTGCCAAGTGTTTCCGAGTGAGCTTCAGGCCAGATGGCAGCCCTTCTCCCATTGTCTGCAATGTATCTGATGCATATGGGCATATGTGTGTATATACTGTATGTGTACGTACACACCAGGGAATGGCTGCTATTTATTCAGCTTAAGCTAACACCTCTGTGTTTAGAATCTAAAAAAATATATATGTTTGTGTTGAGGTGTGTAAATTCACCTTTTTCTGCTTTGAATGAGTGTGTACTGGTGTGTTTGTGCACCCGCATGTGAGACCTAAAGCCTTCCCCGGTTTGAGAATGCCTGCAGGCAGCTTGTTGAAGCTTTGGGGTTCTGGCAGCTGCAGACTGGAGCGAGTGTCTGTGTGCTTTTGGCAACTTTTTCACTATAAGCCTTAACCTTTACCGCGCCTTCTCTCTATCTGTACCTGTCTTTACCACTCTCCCCCCCCCCCCTCTGTGCCATAAAGGTGGATTCAACTTGAATGTCTTCTACCTGTGACGCTTGCACTCAATGACACCTACACAAAACACTCGAGGGTGCTATTCTGCAATCTTTTCGTTCCTAATCGTTTTCACCATGAAATGCATCATTGCCATCATTGGTTATTTTTTTAAACGTCATACCTTGTGATTCTCCTTTTTAGGTCTGACGGGTCACAATGAGGTGGTGAGGGTGGTCTTCTCCCCGGAAAACGTTAGCCTGGAGGTACTACTTAAACGCTTTTGGGAAAAGCACGATCCCACACAAGGTAGCAACATACACATACACAAAAAAACAAAAATTGCCCCTAAAATAAGAGCCATCCCGAGGGTCACGGGATGTATTAGAGCAGAAGGATGATGCCCAGACGTGTGGCTGCGTGTGCGTGGTGATGGGGGGAGGTCTCATGGGTGTAAGTCAATGCCAGACAGCGTTAATGTGTCTGAGATCCAACCATCCATGGAAAGACACACCAGCCTGGTGCGTGTTCTAACCATAACTGCAGAAAAACGCACTCTGTGTCGAGCATGTGCATGGCATGTACTATACCTAATTTAACCCAGCTATTTGGCATTCACTTCGTATAAGGGCTTTGACTGATGTAATAGTGATGATTCTAAATGTGGTATTTTTTTTCTGGGTTTTCAAAAAAACTGGTTAAACTTTGCTGTGATAATTCAATAATTTGCCAATTGTTTTTGACTCGGGTTGGGTTCTGATCCATATTCCTACACTAAACATTGCATTGTCTTATCCAATCTCCTATTAAAAGACACATGGCTTTACCTCACCCGCCTCTTAGAACCATCCCCCACCCCAAACCCCACTCAAAGGTGACAAGAACCCCATCCCCTATACCCCATCTCTTGATTCTCTTGCTTCTTGTTCTCTCTGCTCACTGGAGGAGGTGATGTAAGAACATTAATGCTCCAGGAGGGTCTGTGTGTGTGCGCGTGTGTGTGAGAGATTGAGAGAGAGAGAGGGCGAATGGACAGGCAAAGAGGTACTCTGCTCACCCATATTAAATGCAGGGAGGGGCATGACAAGTTGGGAAGAGATGGATCAAAGATTCATAGGCCCGACCTTCAGCCTTTAAACAGGCTCACACACACACATACACACACACACACACACACACACACACACACACACACACTGTGACATTGCCCACATCAGCTCTGTCATCTCTTTTGCATCTGTCATGGTTGTTTCTGCTACACCGCGTGACCTACATAAACCGAATGTCGGCCATGTTGTGCGTCTTTACCGCAAAAAGCTCACGTATGAGGTGAATGTAGTCATGCACATTCAACGTCATCTGTTCTACTACAAGTGTGTTTAAATAAAAAAAAAAGGCAAAGATGGAAGTTACTATTTAGGTCTATCCGAGACATCCACATCAACTCTATCGGAGGAGATTCTTCGGTTCACTGTGGCCGAGGGCAGACACACGTCTTTCTATGGGCGAAGGCACAGGCAGAGCCGACGCGCCGAGGGGCAAAGGCAGTGAGGCCAGAAGAGAAGTCATGCATTTCCCCTGACTCACTGCCTTGTCTCATCTGATGTTTTATTAAAAGCATGCAGCTTAATGACTATGAACTTCATTATTATTTTATTTTTTTGCTACAGTTAAAGCCAGGCGACTATTTCCGAAATAACCGCAAACTCCACTATACTTCTTCCTTTCTTTTTCTAGTAGTGTTACTCCTTGTGCGTGACTTAAATGTGAAACCCTGCCGCTTCTCTCTTCTCCGATTCTGGGTTCATGTGTAGTAGAAACTCCTCTGATTTGACAAATGTGGCGTGGAGTGGTGGAAAGGGACCCGCTGGCTGTGCCTTCACGCATGCTTAAGCTCCAATTTATTCTGTCCACCTTAGAGCCAGGCTTAAAAGAGAATGGAGAAATTAAGGAAGTTCGCTCCTTTCCCTTTCAACTGCAGGGATTCACCGGAGATCAACACATATGGAGACGAGCCCAGGAACATTAGGAATTCTGTTTTCTCCTGACAAGATCAACACAGAGCCCATCCTGCTTTATATATACACTCTTATGTTGGAGTGCATGTGGAACTATCATGTGCAAATGCATATTCAGTTGCATGCAATACTTCCTTTTTAATGCGTGTGTGTATCTGAAAGTGTGTATGCACATGTGTGTGTATGTGTTTTTGAGATCTGTGCCTCTCTGCTTTGCCTCAGTTCAAAAGGGTTTAGTCCCGACAACGTGATGTCGGGCTGCGTCGGCTCCACCAATCGCAGCCTGGATAGCAACATTAGCAGCCAATCAGAAACTCCCAGCAGCCTTTGCTGTGTGCCCTCTTTCCATATTCAGCAACACTAGTCTCAATCTGCTGGCTTCCCTGGGATGTTGCATAAAGACCCCCCCCATTTTAACACGCTCCAAAATTATAAGTTTCTTAAGTCTGCAAGTCTTCATCAGCATACCTTCACACGTGTGTGCATGGGAACACTCGGAGCACAGAGGAACTCTCAACAGTCAAAGTGACATCTGCACGTCTGAGGGCAACAGCAGCTCCGTTTCATCGCTGGGGTTGAAGGGAAACATGATTTGATGTATTTAGATCACTGGTGAGATGCGAACACATCTTGCTGTTCTTTCACACACTGCAGATCAATTGTGCACACATTTCCATACACGAGCATACTGTTCACTTCACATTATGCACAAGTGCTCATTATGCCTGCTCATAAACAGCTTTACTCCTTTGTGCGTTAATGCGAATAGGCACAACACGCACATAGGCTACACACAAACGCATGTCAGTCGGTTTAATGGATACTTCCTTGTTGCAGAACACAGGCCCTGTTTCACTCCCTGTTCCCACTGTCCACATCGCTCCCAGTTGAGGATTGAAGGGTCTTATCTTGCCACTTCTTTGCCCTACCAACCACTCCATGTTCTCTTCTGCCTCTCCCCAAGTTGCTCCGCCACCCTTTTATCTGCTCCATAGAATGAACTCTGCTTCTTCTCTGGGATGTCCCCCTTCCTTTTTGCTTCTTTCCTTCATCAATTTTACACAATATTTCCCGCTCTCTTTCTGTCTTCCCCACCTCAACTGTCTCACCTGCACCTAAACCCACCCCCCCCTTCACCCCCACCCCTGTCCTGAAGTGCAAGTGAGTGAGCAAGAGGCCCCGGAGCCCGTCAGAACATCCTCAGAGCAGCGCGGTGAGTCGACCGTTCCCCGAGGCCGTCCGCTCATCACACAAACACACTCGCATCCACTCACTCCACTTTTATCTCTTAGTCACTCTCTCCTCCCTGCTCCTCATCCTCCCCCATCCCCCTTTTCCCTATTCGCCCATCTCTTCCCCCCACTCTGCCGCTCTTCTCCTAAACAACTGAGGCTTTTCCCCTCCTCTTTGTTTTCTACTCATCCCTTTCCCTCTCCTTTTACTTCCTCTTTCCACGTTCCCTCCATCCTCTCTATTTATTGAGGCCATGCAGTATTTATGGTGTAGGCTGCTGCTGCTGATGCGTCAGGGAACAGCGAAAGACACAAAAACACAAATGCACAGCTAAGATGGCCGAAGCGGCCGTTCCTCATTTGATAACGTCGGCACGTACATGCACGTTCACCCCTGTAGGTAGACTGCAGTCACACGGTAGACAGGAGACACATTACAGGTACTTTAGGTGGTTAAGGGCAATTCCAAAAACGGTGATGGTGGCCAATTTTCTCCATTTATGCTTTTTCCTTAAAAGTTGCCTTGTGTAGTTGCTGCTTAATGGTATATACTCTTCAGCAACAAAAATATCCTAACACATAGAATATAATAATGGCTTATCAGACATGCACACAGACGTGGTCGGATCAGAAAATAGAGATAAATCAAGCTGTCTTCCATCAGCCAAGTCACGCTGGTGGCAGTTACTTTCTGACAATTAAAATTAGCATGAATATTCCTTATATGATATCTTCACCCCAGCTGGCTGCGACACACGCCAATTCCCTGTTGGGGTACCCCCTGTGTCACTACATCCCTCAATTTAGGGATGCCCCCCCCCCGCCATCTAAAGCCAAACCTTGCGGGAGGTGACCTTGACCCCTGACCTGTGACCTCTGCAACCCCCACACTTCTAACCCAACCACTTCCTCTCCGCTGGTTGGCTGAAAATGGCGTACTCATTACCAGGTGTCAGTTATTACGCCCTCACACACACTGACAGTCCTAATTTATGGAGATTGCGGCACGTGTGTGCACGCTGTGGGGGTTGAGATATGCGTCTCTGTTTGAATATGTTGAAGATCTACGTTTTATAACTTGAACCTCTTTGTTATTTATTTAGTTTTGTTAGCTTAACATTATCAGCTTTCTTTTGTGCATTTGTTCACATTGCATGGAAATTAAATATGCTTACAGATAAGAACATCATTGAAACAATATAGGAGAAATGAGATTGAAAGCGAGGGGGGGGTGTTGGTAGAGATAAGAACGAAAGAGCAAAATACATGTTAGAAAAGAGGAAGATGGTTTTTTTTTTTTAAATGTAAGCATCAGATTCTAACTTGAGCTTATAGTTGATTAGAGTCAGACACCTCTCCAACGGTGTTCTGCATTTTAATGATTGACACCAAATAACACACAAATTCAAACAGAGCCTAAATATGTTCAGCATTAATTAAAATGTGTCAAAAACTGGGAGTCATTTGAGTGTTTATAAATTGAGTTGACATCACACAAATTAATTTGAACTGTGATTAAAATATTTTTGCTCGGAAGTTAGATGTTTAAAATCAGTAGCGTTTTATAAAAACATTGCCTTCAGGGAAGTGAAACCAGCTTTTTACCAAAAATTGAGGATGTTATTGTATATTATTTTAGTGATCTGCAGCTGCTCACTGGATAACATTTCTGTTGCATTCGAAATTATTATGTGATTTGTACATTTAATATAGAGACAGATCCTATTGATTGAAGCATCCATACATATACGTGCAGCATGTGGGGAAACTGCTAAGTATGATCCTTATATATATTTTTATAGCCAAACTTTAACATATGATATCAGATATGGGGAATTTAACTTTGAGTACAACAGTAGAACAAGCTTTTTTCGGTTTAGATGCAACTAAAAATAAACAGCGTAAGGGCCAGAGTCACAGTGCTCTGACAACATGCCCAGAACCATGAAGTGATCATGTTAGAGAGCACCGCTCCAGCAGAGAATAAAAAAGGCAGCCAAGTGGAGATATAACAGATTTTAAAAAGACATGACTATAGTTACCGCAGTAATCTACATGATCAGCACCTAAGTCATGTATACAGGCACATGGTACTATTGCCAAGGCACACACACACTCCTACTGTTGGTTTAAGGGTGCCTTCGTATGTGTAGTGTCACCATCTGACAGCCAGCAGCGCATTGCTCTCTGTGTTGCCTTGGATGTTTGCATATGTCACATATTTACTCCCCTTAGAATATATATTCTGTGTTTGTGTGTGTTTGCACGTGCAGGCGAGTATGTGTGTGTCCACTGGGGATGCTCTCACCATCCCAACTCCGTACTCTGCCTCTTTCTCCAGCGCGTCAGGAGCAGCTTACATAAGAACAGGGCAAAAATAGCAGCTGAGAGGGGAGAGGAGGAGAGGGCTCTGCTGGCACGCACACAGTCGTAACGGGACCGCGGGGCACGGCACAACCCTGAGTACTATCACGCATAAACACAAACGCATGAGATGGAGGACTGCAGTTACCAGGCATTATATTTCTTTCTTATTTTTTCATTTGCGGTGTACTTTTTTGGACAGAATAGTAGAAATAACGATAGTTGGTCAGACTCCATCAGTGTAAAAAAACCCAAATAATTCCCGCTGATTTTTCCTCTTGGGGGCAGGGCAGGGTTTGGGTTTTCTCTCTAGAACTGAAGTGGGCGAACAAGTATTACATTGTGTGACAGTGTAGGGAAAAGGATGTAGGGGGAGGCATAAGGAGGTAAAATAACACGAAAAAAGAAACATCAGATTGTTCATTAGCGCTCACTCTGCTGCAGTCTAATTGGTACGCTCTGCCAAGTGCAATGATTCCAAATTCACTTCAAATGTTTTTCCTCCAAGCTCAGAAGGATGCAAAAAGTCACCAATTACACAGAAACATATTTTAATTGCGGACTCTGACAAAAGCCTAACTGCTGACATTTTTATTCTTTCCTCTCTGTAATTAAATGTTATTTTTTGCCTTACTTGCAACCTTTTTCTTGTTTTACATCGTCTTGAGTGCTGAGATAAAGTAGGAATAAAGTAGCTGAATGAAACAGAGGGAAAGGAGGGACGGTACATAGAGAGGTGGAGAGGTGAGGCTAATCTCAGCTCTTACAGTCGTTAACGGATGAAGGATCGTTGTGTAAAAAAACGCCCAGGGAGAATAAGCCCGGGTCAGGCCACCGCTTCTGTAGAGGGGTGTCACACGCATCGGTACATTGCTCTTACTCTATGCCGCCTGATATTTCCGTCTCTGTCTCTTCATCTTCTCCTTCCTCCTCTTTAGCGGTTCTTTACCAGCATCTCTTTTAATCTGATTACCGTCCCTTCTTACTGTTAGATCTCCTTTTTTTTTTTTTTTTAAGCCTGCAACTTAAAGACACAAGCTTGGCTTTGCTTAGTGCTTTCTTCTGTCACCACCCCTCGACACACACATATATATATATATATATATATATATAAATATCATATATATACACACACAGTGTGTGTATATATATGATATTTATATATAGATATATGCCTATATAAAAAAAATTGTGAAAGGGAAATAAGGAAAGAGCTAAAGACAAAAGTTGAGCACAATTTGCAGAAAGAATGAAGGTGGAGTTGGAAGTGGAAGATATGACAGGCTTTTATCCTCAACATGCTAGCAGGCACAAGCTGAGCTGTGCCATTTTCTGCCAGGACTAGAAGAGATTTTACAGAGTTGCAAGAAATCTCAGCGGGAATAAACGCAAAAAGCACAAAAAATGTATGCATGTACGTTTGTGTACGCAGGTTTGTGCATGAACGTCTGCTGGAGAGAGCACCCACTCCCTCTGAGACTTGAGATACGCCACCACCTCCCACTCTGTCTGATTTTAGCACTTGTGTTGACGGGGCTACTTTTACATTTTCTTATTTAGGGGGGTATATTAATTAATATTTTTGGCTTTGTGGGCGTAGGTCAGTGACCCCGAGAGGCGGTGCGTATGTATGTGTGTGTGTGTGGCGTGTGTGACCCGTAGCCCCTCCCCTTCTGTCCACCCCCCATTACCCTCTGCTTTCAGAGGCAAGGCTCTCATGCATAATGCAGAGAGAACAGGGAGGCTCTCATTAATAATTACTGCCGCCTTTGATGGATGGAGAAAATAACGAAGGGGGCTGTTAAAAATGGAGAAAGCAAGAGAGAGACGGCGTAGGCATAAGGGGGGAATCTTGAGTTTTTTTGGATGGTATTTGTTGCAGTTGTTTGACTGAATGCTTATGGGCATTGTTTTGGCCCTAGTAAAGACAAAACCTAGGAAGATGTTTTGGATGGTGTTAATATTTTTGATTGGGGAGTAGCCCCCTGTCTGACGGTGAAGGGCTTTCTTAAGATATGATTCATCTTAATGGTGTTTGTGTTGGAAGCAGCTATTACCACTCAAGGGTGTTTGTCTCTTGACTTTTCTTTGATATTCCATACCATTAACCATTTTTCTGTGATGTATTTGTTGTGTTTACTTTCTTATATGAGAAATGAAATGTCTACCTTTCCTGCAAAGTAGAAAATCATTGCATGATATATGATATATAGGTTTTCCTCTCATGATTAACAGGATTTGTTTATATATGATCTTGCACATGTATACACAAAATCGTTCCAGTTTGTGTGTGTTTGAGCTGGTCAGAACCTCGGGGTCAGCAGGGAAGGTCATAGGTAGTAGTAAAGCCACAAGACCTCTGCCAGCCAGCCAATCAGAATAAAGGCTCTGGTGGACAGCCAATGGCAGAGAGGCTCGGTGGCCTTTGATGGAGGGGCCACCATTAGCCTCGTCACTGAACAACAGCGCTGGGGGCAAGATGGCCGACATCCAGCACTGCAGAGATGGAGAGAAAGAGGGTGAGGGTAGACATGGATGCAAAGACAGAGAGAGACAAATGAGAGAGTGGGTTGTACTGTGAATAGCACAATGTAGACAATACATTTGGATTACATTTAAAAAAAATATGTTTATGAAATAGTAGAATAAGAAATCCGATGTTTTAAGCCAAACCAGCAGCATGACCCTTTGGATGGCCATGGTGGTCGGTGACGTCCACCATTTTGGCTCAGAATAACATTTCTAGATGGATTGTCATAACGGATATTCAAGTGGCATTTGGATGATTCATTCTGAAGTGTTAGCATAAGGAACATTATACCTGCTTAACATCATCATATTAGCATTGTAACTGACATGGTAACTGGTTAAATTAATAGTTGTTGTGGCAAAGGAAGTTTGGGAAAACTAAGCCTCCTGTCAAATAATAATCGACCACAACATACACTTATTGCCTATGATTGCCAACAGCGAAGGATGCAGACCTTACATAAACCTTATGTAATCTCAAACTCATCTCTCACTTGCCGCATACTTGGGCCATTCAACTCTAGTCCTCGTAATGTAGCGCCAACTTAGCCTCCTGTTGTTTCCAGGAAATGTCAGCTGGCTCACGGCTGCTATTTAAGATTTCAAAGGTAAATTGCACCGTAGAAAATACTTTAAAGAACGTAACAGGATTCTGGACAGAGACTGATATAAACAAATGTGTTGCATGTGTTGGGGTTAATCCATACAACCTACTGTTTTATCATATTTGAACAACTCAACTATTTAATATTGTTGAGGACATTTTCAGTGAAGCAAATTCTCTGAGTCATTCAGTATGTGTCGGAGAGCGGGCTACGTCTGCTTGTCGGCTCTGATTTGAATGAAGACCAGATGAATACTTATAGTCATTATATCAGAACAGACTGTGGCACAGATTCATTGTGACACCATGATGAAAGGTAACATTTAATCTAAAGAGAACAAAATATGCAGATCTCTGTGTCAGGGAGATGCCGGAATGAAATTGTGAAAATCTGTTTTCACAATATAAAAAGAGAACAACATGGAAGATATAGGTGTCACTTACAGTATGATCTTTGACTAAATGTCAAACATGTCAAAACGTATATGGGCAACATATACATTTTTTTCTGAGTTGATCTTACAGGAAAAAAATACTTCGTCTGATGTGTAAAAAAAAGGGAAAGCTTTTGCTAACATAGTCACAAAGTAAAAGTTGAATTTGTATTGGAAGATCAGAAGAAATGGACGCTAGGAGAACACAAATACAGTTATACTGTTGCGTAAAAGACACTGCATACGGTTTTGTTTTTAAAAGAAACAAGAAAATAGACTGCATATAAAAAAGTTCTTAGACACAAGCAGTATCAGTTCCTCCATTGTTGTAGCCTTTCATATATACCACTGATCTTTGGCAATCGCTGAAAAATAGACAAAGTTTGACCAACTTAAGTGGCAGGGAAGATGGGGGGGATCTGTTGTTTAAGTGAACTAAGCCACTTTTGCTGCAGGCAGAAAAGCAAAGCTGTAAAAGCTTTAAAGAAGAACACACACGGCCCATGACAGGAGGCCAAAGATTAACTAAGACAAGGATTTAGAAAAGGATAGATGAAGAGAAGAATGACGCTTTTCAGTGAAGAGAAGAAACAAAGGCTGAGTGGGAGACCGAGTAAGAGAGATAAAGGCAAACCAAAGCCTGCCGTGGAGAGGTCCACAGATGCCAGAGCTGCTCAGGAGTGTAGCCTCTGAAAAGCATAGATGTGATGGCGGCTGTTTGGCCCCCTAATTAAGGTACACTAGGCTTGGGCCTCCTCCAAACACACTGATGTAAAGCTGATGAAAATTCTGACAATGCCACATAGAAGACAAAGAAGAAGGAAATACACCCACCTCCTAGAGCCCATACACCTACACACCGCAGGCCTCCCTAATGAAAGCCTAAATCTGCTGTGATCTCTGAATTCATTCGTACTCATGAATTCAAGATGCAGGATGATGACATCATTGTGAAAACCTTTTAAAAGCAAATGATATCTTGTCCGTGGTGATTGCTGTAGTTTTGCTTATTTGTGGGGTGTCTTATTTTCCCTTTGTGTGTGTGTGTTTGTGCAGGTATGAGGCAGCAGAATGATCGAGGTACTCAATATCGTTCAGCCATTTACACATCCAACCCCACTCAACAGGATCTTGCATTGAAGAGCAAAGTGGCCTTCCAGCAGGTATAGTACACACACACACACACACACACACACACACACACACACACGCGCGCATCAATACCTCACAGATGTTTTCACTTATAAACAAACCTGTGCCTGGAGTTTGAGCATCTGCTAAAAAGTGTGAATAATGGTTAAAAAAAAACTGTATTCTGTATAGCTTCCCCGATTAGTTGACTACTCAAAGAGTCGGGAGAAAAAAATCCCAGCTTTATTAACAATTGATTATTCTAACATTTTGAATGCCAAATGGCTTAAAATGCTCTTTTTAGCCCCTTCTAAATATTTCTGTTTGATATTATATTAAATTGAATATCTTCGGACATACGAAATAAGACATTTAAAGAAAACACCTTGGAGACTGGTCTTTAAAATGTAAGTAAATAAAATAAAAAATGTCATCCCAGTGTCTCAAACGATTTAGCCATTCTTTGCAGATTACTCGATAATGAACATACTTGTTATTTGCAGCACTTATTCACCGTTAAGGCTTCACTTCTTTAATGACTTTCAGCAGTAGGTTGTTGTGTTTTGTATCCTAACGGTAACAAAATGAGGAATAAGCATACCCTCCTTTTGTCATCTCAAAAATAGTTTTTCCGTTAAACGTGGCTTGGCTGCAGTTTGGAGTTGTCCCAGTTATTTGAATAAGGATTCAAAGCCAGTCTCTGGAGTGGTGACCTCTCAGAGTTTGATGCTGTTTAGTCAAGCAACGCCACCTCAGTTGAGTTGATCCCAATCTACGTCCAATCGGTGACACCCTTTTTGTTTAACTTAAGAGAGGAAGAGGGTCAAGAGGTCATCAAAACTCATTTCTAAAGCTCGTCCTTTCATGGGCACACGCGTCGCCCTTTTGTTCTTTCATCCATTTGTCCGTCCGTCCGTCTATTAGTCCATCTATCCAATGATCCCCGCAACACTTTTGGTCCGTTCATCTCTCCTCGCTCTAAATGGTATTCATGGACAAGCTGGAAGGGGGCAGAGGGGAGCAAATTATGATCGTCATGGTTACTTAGGGGTCTCGGGGTCAGCAGTCACGGGCCACAGGGCTGCTCATGTTGCCATGGCGACAACCTGCCAACCTTGGCCTTGGGCTGGGGTCAGAGGTGAAAGAGGAGTGGCAGCTGAGACCCGGAAGGTGGTGAACGGGGGAGGAAAGAAAAAGAGGAAGGCAATCAGATCAGAGGGCCATGACTGACGCACACGCACGCACGCGCACACGCACGCACGCACGCACGCACGCACACACGCACACACGCACACACACACACACACACACACACAGTACAGGTTTATTAGCAGTGGATATCACAGTCTTTCCACACATAAAACCACATCTGGAGTGGATGTGGCAAATGTGAATTAAATTAAAATGCATGCTTCATATATGCATTGCTGAAAACACGATTTGGAAATGTCAGGCCCAAATATGTTGATATCAAATGAAAATGCTGCAAATAAATGTTGCCTTAAATACAGAATTTAATAAAATAGTTGCACTTTAAGTCAATTGTGTGGCTATGCTGGAGCTTTTAGCCATATTAAATGATCCTTATTATCAGAAAGGAGTTTTCTTCATTCTCACTTAATTGCAGTTCTCACCAATGTTGTCATAAAAGTTTCATTTTTAAATTAATTCTTGCCCCTGGAAAAAGCAGTTAATAAAATAATCTCACATTCTATAATATGTTATTTCATAAAAAGTTATAATACCTAATCATTGTTTTTGTTAGTAAATACATTTTTGATACAAAAATCTGTTTAATAAACTTTGAAACTCAACTTTTAGACAATATATAAAGTCCCCTGCAAAAGATCTGTAACAACTGAGGGAATTAAATCTGCTGATGACGATCCTGTGAAAATATAAAAAAAAGGGAAAACAAAAAGATTCACGGCTTTCATTAGCCCATCCATGATATTAGGTGAGATGAAGCTTACAATGCCCATGCATCAGTTTGCAAAAATATGCTGTCTGATGAAAACATTAGAATATACGAGCAAATTATATTTGATGAAAATATATATTACATTTTAAAATAAGATATCCATAGTACCACTGACATTCCAATTGAAGCCACCTGGCCTTCCTTTTTTTTTTTTAAATGTCTTTATACGTCATTCCTAGCTAATTAACATGTAGTGACTACACCATAAGCCTCAGTGTAAGCATTCAGTGTTCGATGGGTTCATGTTACGGCACAAAAGAGGCTGTTATATCGAGCATTATCTTCTTGTCGCCTTCATGCCAGGGAAAGGCTGAAACCATAACCCAGTTTGCAGCAGACGCTCCAAAAAACACACCCATTTACGAACATCCAGAGAACAAGCTCTCAGACTCGTCTCCCCTTCTCTCTCCCCCCAACGCTGCTGACACCACCGATCTGTCAACCACTTCAGTGGCACCCCAGTTTCATCTGAGGGCCACTGGGACACGCATCTTCTCAAAGCAGCTGACATGCTCTGAACCAAAATGGCAGCTTCCTGCCCTGAAATGGTTGCCTTGCCGCATTGATGCTGAGTCTCAAGAACGCCCCGGCTTGAAAATGGCATCGCTACAGAGGAAGGACTTGGTTGTGTGTGTGAGAGGTTTCGTGTGAGTGTGTGTGTGAGTGTGTGTGTGAGTGTGTGTGTTTTTATCCTAAAAGGCCAACGCTCTCTTATCAGGAAAAGTGAGTGCATGTTCAGTAGAGTGACAAGAGCGAGTGGGTGGAGGCGATCCAAGACGATCGGAGATAAGACAGGCATCGCAAAATCCAGATTTCACCCCACTGCCAGCCCATGACTCACAAACACACTCGCATGTACGTACAGACACACACGGAGACATACATTTGGCACATACACGCACAGCCCAATGAATAATTAACCCATACGAAGAGTCTCTTCTGCAGGGCTTTCAGTTTCTTAACTTCAGCATTGGGGGGGGGGATGAGGACGAGTGAGGCAGAAAAGCTTGTTTAAGCGCGAGAGCAGAGAGGGGGAGGAGAAGGAGGGGGAACGCAGAGGGGAGAGGAGAAGGGGGTTCTCTATAATGAAATTTGAAATTTGCAGAACATCAAAGGCTTCTGTAGCCAAGCCGCTGTGGCAGCAGAGCAGAGGAGGAGTGCATCTCTTTCTGTCTCCCCCGTCTCTTCCTCTCCCCTTCTCTCTTTTCCCTCTATCCCTCCCTCTCTCTTTGCTAAAATGTGTCTCCCCAGAGCTGGGTGAGGTGGGGCTGTTGGGGGTGAGTGGAGGGTGAGAGTGAAGAGATAGGAAGAGTTGATTAGGAGGAGAGTGCAGGGTGGGGGTGGGTTAGAGATGGTTTTGAGAAAGAAATGGATGAACGGGGCTTCTATGTATGTTTGTGTGTGTTAGAGAGCGAGAGGAGCGTGTGCATGTATGAACAATAGGTTTTATCGAGCCAGCGAGGATATTGCGTGTGTGCGCGCACATGTGTAAGGCCTTGGAGGGGTGAGTGTGGCCTCTGATAAGGCATCCTAACTTAATGAGCTTGAAAGGGGGGAAGCAGGGGGGGGCGCACAGGGGTTCATATGATGGCTGGGAAAAGAAAAAAGGGGGATCGTTTGGAGCTGGATGTCTTTAGGAGAAGCTCGAGGTTGTTGAAACGGGGCATGGCATCAGTGGGTTTTGAAACCAGGCTTCAAGTCCAATGTCTCTTATATTGAAAAGTCTTCAAAAGTCAGATTCGCCCTTCCACTTATCTCCCGCATTTTATGCCGTCTGCTTTAGATGACAATGTTCTTGCTGCGTGCCGTACTCATCGATCAGAAGACATCTAATAAGCGTAACCACAAGGCGCTATTGGCTAAGAAATAACCCTTAATAAAAAAATGATAAGAAGTATGTTGTTCACAAATAACTTTATAATTTCCAGGAGGTAAATGCCCATCCCTAAGTGAGATACTGATCTTTTAGATATTGAGTACAGTGCAGCCGAAACGTTAAAAAGGCGATCGCTCTTCTCGAGAATGCGGAGATGATCTTATGCAGGGTTTTTTTTTTTTTTTCGGTCTTCAGATGTTGAGCTACTTGTTGTCTGCCCTAGGGGAAAAAAATAACAACATAAAAAAAACAACGTAGGAGCGCACCGCCTCGAGACTGAAGAGTGTGCATCCTCTCTGCCTCTCAAAATGTAGGAGTGTTGGCTTCCTCGCTCACAAAATGTAGGAGCGCTCGCTGAAGATTAGAGCCAAGCTAAAATGGATGCCTGACCCGCGCTGAGAAGAGAAAGAGAGATGAACAGAGCAGGGCAGGAAAAAAAAAAAACCTCTTCATCCTCTGTGCAGACACACGAAGGGAAAGCATGTCTTTTAGCTCACGCACACACAGTGGTGTTCATGAATGTGTTACATACAAGGCGTTGAACAAGAACACTTTTATTACATTCTATCGTTCATACTTTTATCCCCTCTTCACTACAGTGTGTTATCAGCCTCTGGATAATCTCCCATACTCTTCTTCATCACTTCCCTCCATCTCGCCCTGCGTGTCTCTGCACCATCTCTCTGTCTTCGTCCTCTCTCCATCACTCCCTCTCTCTCCCTGAGGGTCATCCAGGGCAAGCGTGGTGCTGCGGACGAGTCGATAAGTATCATGTCAGCCGACTTCATGTGTTTTCCGGCGGAGGCACAGTTATCTGTTCCTAGCTTTTTACCGCCGAGCAGCTTTCAGTTCGGCAGTACTCAAAGTGTATTTACATTTTTTAGATGTTGAAGGGCTTTCTATGCTCCAGGTGTGCAGAGGCAGTGAGTTACATTTATTTAAGGTTGGTGCAAATGAATTGCGGTACCATGCATACCATTTATTGTCTTTTGGCTTTACATTCTGAAAATGAAGAGATTTTCTACCTTTAAAGTGCTTTTATTTAAAGACAACCTTGAGGTACTTACTATTTGTTTCTCCTTGACGCTCTCTACATTTCATTATTTATTTATTTATTTTACTACATTTTTGGCTGCTTAGTTAAAGATCAATATAGTCGATATGAAACGTGTGATCATCTTTTAAAATATGTTGAATATTATGCCATATTATAGATGAGAAAAGTATAAATAAGCAAATAAAATAAAGATTTTAAAATAGCTACATCCAGACCAGCTACAGCATTAAACACTGCTGACACAGTATTTGCATTAATAATGATAACCCCCCGATAGTTCAATAACATGTTTGCTTTTACAGGCAACATTTGATTCTCTAATAAGAACTTATGTACTGCAGTACAATAGTCAAAAATATATGCAGTATTTTTACATTGAGGATTTGAAATGTTGCTTGCAATAAAAGGTCTAAATACCTATCCCACTACTGCTAAACTATTTGATTTGATTTGTGAGCCTTGCAAACGTGCTTCGGCATGACTGTACTTAATTAGGGTAATGCCAATAGAGCAAATCAAATTTGCAATCACATTTGCGATGTCATCATCACCAAGAAACATTTATAAAAAGAGAGGAGAGGACCCAGAGAAATTATAAATGGCAGTAGCCCCACACCAGTCACGGAGTGGACTAACGAATGATTACATAAAGTCACAGAATTGAGGTCATATCGCTCTTCAAATGTCTTCACCATGAGTCATCGGGTGTCACAAACTCTATGTCAATGTGCGTCTCTTCCCCACCACTCTGCAGCCGTAGGCCTTCCCAGGGAAAAAACAGAGAGACAAGGCAGTGGGGTAGAAAGACAGGAGAGAGTACATTTTCCTCCTCCTCCTCCTTTTGCTCCTCCACCTCCACCCTCTCTCGGGGTGTCACGTCCTATTTGTGTCCTGAGGCCGTCTCTGGCGATGGTGATGGCGAGAGGGGCTCTCTCGCTTGGCTGGAGAGCGGGGAGGACTTGGTAGCACGAAGCGGTGGTCTGTGCTCACATGGGAGAGAGTCAGCAGTGGAGAGTCAGAAAGGAGGAGAGAGAGATGCACGCGTTCAGCCATGCCTTTGACAGGGGAGTCTTTCCGACAGGCGTGAAGAAAGGAAGGGCTGACTGGGCTGAGTGAGCTCAGACTTCGACCCACACACACACAAACCTGTTTTTGTCACTAAAGAGGACATTGCATTGACTTACATAGATTCCCTTGCGATTTAACCATAAGCATACATGCCTAATACCAACCCCAACATTTTACGGTTCACCTCGTTTGGACCCATTTTTTGTCATCAAATTGGATGTGAGTTCCAATAATGTGGCTCTGTGACTTGATTTGTGTCCCCACCGTACAATTTCGCATACAAACACACCCTAACTATACCTAACGTGTCCTGTATTCATGATCCTCTTTTTCCATCCTCATGCACACTCACACGTATACAAAAACACATATGAACACATTTCTCCCCCTCTATGTAGCCATCATTTATACGTCAGGGGCAATCGAAATGCTTAGCTTAAGGACATCTCGGTTTTCTCTCCTCCATCTTTGCCGTATTCTACACTGAACATCCTTCCATCCATTCCTCTGCTGCAGTGTGAGAGAGGGAGAGGGAAGCCACATAAGGTTATACACAGTGGCGTCACGCTATGCATTCTGATTTATAGATCTAAAATGGCCGCCGTGTTGTGACTGCTGTACAGGGCTGGCTGGAGAACGAGAAAGGGGTGTCAGGGCGGGGGTGTTTTAAAAGCAGACTTTTTCCTTGGACATTGTGTTCTCCTCACACGAAACGTCCTCTGCCCTAGAGGCTTTACAGTGGTTTGGTGATGACTGGTTAATTAGGCCATCATGTACAAAGCCGCCTTGCTTGTGTCGACTGGTTTACTACAATGGTGTTGGATATGGGCAATAAAACATGGGTTCTTCTGTGTCAGACTGCACAAAGTGTGTATTTTAAAATGTAAATATTTCCGTGCTTGTGTTCTGGCTGCAGTTTGGTTTGTGGATATTGGTTCTTTCCTGCGGGAAGTTTAGAGCCCTCACATTGTAGCGGCAGCTCTGAGGACGTAGAGGTCAGCCGCTGCCTCAGCCTCTCTGTGGGGCGCACAGCTTTGATTTACTGACTCCACTGCATCACCTCACACACACACACACAGACACACACATCTAGTGCCACACTGCCTCCATGTGGACAGAATTATACACTACCAAGCTGCCCTTACCTGGCATTATTCCCTCCTATACTGTATACTTGTGGTAATCCTTATTTGACGTCTTCTTAGATGCAAAGCTTTTTCTGTACATATCATTTATTGGTTTGTCTGTTCAGCATCAGTAAAAGATGGGATGCCCCTGCGTAGCATGCTTATGGTTTATTTGGTTTTAACTCGGAGAGAGAAACAGCAAATCTGTATTATTTACCTTGCAAATATAAATGAGTTAAAGGTTAGTAGTGTATTCCTAAATGAATGGTCTACTAATGCAAGGATGGATTTATCAATTAGATATCATTTTTAAGCAAAGACCAAAGCTTCTGTTTTTTCAGCTTCTCAAATGTGAAAAAAACTCACTAGTTACTAGAATAAATAACTCCTCCAATCCAATTCAAATGACCTGAAGTTTGATTTATAATCTAAATAATTGTAATAATCTTCACTGGTTGTTTAACAGTTAAGATCTAAAAGATTCACCATTTAATCAATTGTCTCGTGTGGGCTAAACAATTAAGGAAAAAATCATAAACAAATGCAGATGCTTACATACAAGTGTCACTGAATGGTTTCTTCAGTGTGGAAATCATGTAATGGATATGCTCTAGTCTTCGTAAAAATGCTTTTTGTGGCTTGTTTTGATCCAATTCTTTCTAATCACTTTTCTTCAGGATTGTCAGGCCTTCTATGTATTTTTCTTTAAAACTTCATTCATTTTTTCCTTGGTCACTTGGGGAAAGAATAACACCTTTAACAAGACAGTCAGCTGTTTCCATTTGATGTAGTTGCGAACAAAGACTCCCTTTTTAGGAAATATCTGACTTTTTAGGTGCTCAATGTTCCACTTTGTTCACCATGTTTTTTTGTTTTCGATAGGAGGATACCGCTGTGGATTATTTTTGCCTCACAGTTAAAACCTACTTACCTGTGCATGTTACGTTTTTTAAAACAAACTACCTAGGAAAACATCGCTCGAACCACCTCCAGACATCCATTGTCATCCTTGCAGCATTTTAGGAACTTTAATTATTCATTTGAAAATGCTTTATCCCGTTTTTTTTCTTCAGTTTTGGCTCCCGGTAAAAAAAATATACAATGACCAGCGACGGAAGTCCTTAAAGAAGATGACTACAATGATGGATTTGGTGGTCCCACGCATCAAACTCAGTCTTTTGTTAACGTTTTAATTGAGAGACCCCTAGTGGCGGAAAATAACATACTGTGCATTCAAGAAGAATGGAGAATGCCTGAATTTCTCCAACAGTATCCATGACAGCATAGTCGACAGCGAGTGGTGTATACAGCAGCTGATAAGAACCGGTTGAACCCGGGTTGGATATATTCAGCTCCTGTTTCATGATGCTTGCTGAACCTTGCCAATCGACGCCCCCATAGAGCAGTGCGCCTCGCTGCTGCACACAGCTCTGAGGTGCTGCACGCTACATGCAACCTACATGTTGCCCTCAGACACTCCCGGTACATCTCATACTTGTTGTTTTGTAATCTCTCAGGTGCACTGATCTAAAGAGGACTGAGTGCTTGTGTTATTAGATGGAGAAAACCACTCGGCTCAGCAGGTATTTGATATATCTGTGAGAAGTGTTTAAAGTGTGCGTGTGTGTCTATGTGAACGGGGTTGCTCTTTCTAGTGCGTTTGAAGCCCTTTCCTTGAGGTGTAAGTATGAAAGTGTCTTAAGGAGTTCTCAAAGAGAGCGGATACTCTTTGATGCTTTGTCCCACAGAGAGGGGCTTAGACGCAAGTTGAAATACTGAAAGAAAAATATGTTCCTTTCTTCTGTCACTCAATCACCCTGATTTCTAGCTGAGGAGCAAAAACTCTTTACTGTATTTGTGAGAGCTATTGAAAGTTCACATTCACTACACTGCAGAATAAAACAACCATTTTAAAGAGTTATGTTCATTTTGAGGAAGTTACGGAGAAAGTAATGCTCAATGTATGTCAGCGGTGTGGTGATGGAAGCTGCCCAGAGAACACATGAAGCATACGAGGAACTACCAGGAATGTTTTTATCACATAGATGTCTATCTGAGGGATTTTAACCTTTTAAAAGCACTGCTGTATTTCAAGTAGTTATGTATCTCATCAGATGAACAACCTTAGTTATAGTTTATTTGAAATGCATTCTGCACTTTTTTCATTTTTCTTTCTTTAGTTTTGCATTAACTGTTGTGGGTTTTGTTTGTTTTTTGTCTCTAGGAGCTGGATAAAAAAGGCTACGGTCCCATCACCACAGAGATTCTGGAGGGGCAGCAGTTTTACTACGCTGAGGACCATCACCAGCAGTACCTGAAAAAGGTACCGAAAGGCTACTGTGGCCTCAAAGGCACCGGAGTGTCCTGCCCCATCGGAGCCGGGAAGGATGAATTATAGGAATGTGTGGTGAGGGAGAAATGAGGAGAATTTATGAGGTTGTTTTTCACATAAAAATGTTCAGCCTTAATCTCATTTAGTTTTAAAAGTATCCATAGTTAAAAATGTCCTTTTGGCATATGTATTAATATTAATAACAAACAAATAATAACCTATTTGTCAGATTGTTAATACATCAAAATGCTTTTCAATAAGAGTTTCAGTTTTGTTTCTACAAAGCAGTCTTGTCAGCTATGTAAAAACAATAATGTGTAAAATGTATTTGAACACTTAAAGGGTATTCAACTCTGTGTTGTTGTTGCTTTTAATTAAGTCGGAAAAAGACAAATTGCTTAAAACAAGGACAAATGAATTGGACACAGATGTAACATAAACATGTAACTACTTTACACAGATGTAAAAATATATATACAAGTGTATGTAAAAACATAATAGTCTGCACTGTTCTCTATACAGTACAAACACGAGAGCAATGTCAGACTTTTGCATTTTACATCAAATGCATTTAAACAGTATTAAAAGACAATATGAAGGTAAATGAAAAACGGGAAATACACTTGAAGTAGTCATGCAGCTGTGGCAGTCATGTTTGACTGCAGCAACACTGAGCTTCCACAAGGTGGCAATGTTCCTCAAAGAACACAGTAAAGCCCCATCAGTGTTTTACTTAGCTGAGAAACCATGAAACCAACACTTTCTCTTCCTAAGTTGGTTCATTGGAAGAAAATAAACCTACTCAGTGGTTTTATTATCCAGCAACCTATTATTTTTACATCCATCTTAAAGCTTGAACACTGACCCTGTTTAGACTTTACTGTCAGATTTCTTGAATATACCGTCTAATACAATCAGCTTTTTAAAAGGAAAACCAGCATATCTTTTTTAACACACTGTTTTTTATATTACTTTGAAAAGCTGTTCATGTAAACAAGTTTACATTGACCAAGAAGACAGACTGAACACTGCTTGTCTCACTTATATATAAATAAAGCACATCTTATCCAACCTTCTGTTATCATGCACATGCTCGTTTGTGTTCTTGTTTTCATGTGTGCATGTGTCTGCCCCTGCGGCTATATATATTTAAATATAAACCACTGTTTCGTTTATTTCTGCCCCTTTTCTGCCTTGTTTGAGAAGGGACCCTACCAACGAGGGACACATGGGTATGACTCAGTGTGACACACAGATGCACATTTGGAAATCACTCATTCTGGATCGCAGAATGAGACACTAGTAGCACTAATGTATGCTATATGTTACACACTTTGCTTCACTCAACTTCCAGAAAACCCAGAAAAAAAAGTCCTATTATATGATTACACATCAGAGAGGAATAAGTTATTACTGTGTGGAGTTATTTGTATTATCAGTCTATTTAAAAAAATTAAGTCCTACTCATCGTTAAGACACCAAAATACAGAGATGATATCTAGAAAAAGCTTTTTGGTCGACCGCAGCAGTGTGATTCACCCCGCTCTCGTTTTTCCCCCTCCCTCTCTGCTATCTTTCTTTCTCTGTCTGTGTGTATGTGTCACATCCTGACACCTGTGTGTAGGTGTGGACCAGGGCACAGGTGCAGGTGCAACCTCTCAGGGCCTATTTTAGTATTGGGACAGATATTTTTTGCATGTGTCTGCATGCAGCAGCCGTGTGTGTATGTATGTGTGTGTGTGTCAGGGGATGTGAAGCTGTGGCTTGCTTGATCGAACCGCGTTGAGTGGTATGTGGTCGGGCCAGCTAGCTGTTTTCCAGCTCCCGCCTATACTATTTTGTTTTGTCGAGTGTGCGAGAGGAGATAACCTTTTTAATAAAGTGATCTTCATTTCCTCGGCTTTAAAGAGAGGATGGCTTAAAAAGCTTTGATTTGTTTCTGCCATCTCAAATAATGTTAACAAGACATTATGTTGATTTCTGCTGCATTACAGAGAAGGCGTTAAATCCATTATATCTAGGGAGAGATTTTCTGTGGAAAAGAACCATGTTTAGTGCAGACACATAAAACGACTTTAAGAAGTAGTTGCATGAGTAAGTGTATGTTTTCTGTGTATTCCTTTGTTATAGGTTAAAATGGGGCATGGAAATGCATGGTACTCTCACATACGCATCCATACACAAACACAGTGAGGCCGGGCAGGACAGGAACCAGGCTGTGTATGCCCTTCAGACAGAGCCTATTGTCTGCAGATGGGCCTTTAATGGCCCCACAGCTGGCCACAAAGAGCATACCGCTATGCCTCTCACTGGCCTATCTCACCCTGAAGAGAGGAGGCAGCTCACGGGCACACGTACACCACTGTGAACATGCATGTAACATCTTATTCCACCCTTAGAATAATGCGTTTTCCTTTTTGTCTAATTATATCCGCGTTAGAACTCATAAGAGAAATCCTTCCTAAACCATCCGAAGAAAATAATCGGGTTTGAGAAAAGCGTCTGGAAGAGTGGGCTGAAATGAAAAGAGAGGTGCTGGGCTGTTTATCAGAAGGTCTCTGCACTCTTACCCACACATGTACACACACACACACACACACACACACACACACACACACACACACACACACACACACACACACACACATAACAACACACACACACACACACACACACACAC